AACAACGTTACAGGCAAATCTCCCCTATTGAGGCATCTAATTCACATACTCCGTTGTTTTTTTGATAGCTCGTTTATGCGATCCCCTCGATCTTTAAATCCTAAAAAACCTCACTTTATCCCTTTCAGCTCTATTGGAGCACCCAAAAACGCCACAAAACGAAGGCATCTTCACAAAATAATACTTCAAAAATTCTCGGTTTGCATTGAAAATAACATTAAATCAGGTTATGTTTGGCTTTTGTTTGCCCCTCAGCTAAAATGGCGGATCGGTTATGACGTCAACCTGGAATGCCTAATTTCTGGTGATTTGACAAATGTCAACGTTAAACCTGTAAAGGTAAAATGAAGGTAGACAACTACTAATAAACGGAAATATTTTGAAAAATCATTCTTATTTTTCGCTTTGTAGATAAAACGTTGTACATCACACGCGCGTTTAAACATGACTACAAAACTCGTGTAATTAAAACGACTCGGTCTACGACCTCGTCGTTTTAATCTTTCACAATCGTTATTGTAATCATGTTCATAAACGCACTTGTAATGTAAATAACTATTATTTTATTTTAAATTGTAGTTGTTTAGTAAATGACAAGGTTTCTCGGTAAACGCTCCAAAAAAACCACAAAAAAAAAAAAAAAAAACTTCAGGCTAACTCCTGATATACCTATGTCATTAGTCGCCCATTTTACACCATATGGGTGCAAGCGACCTACAATTATCGGAATCAATAATAGTCAAAAAGTAATTTTTTTTTAAATGTAACTTATCATGTTTTTTGGCACCATATTCGAAAGAAAATTGAATTTAACATGGCGTTACCTAAGCATTTCCTAAGCATTTCCTAAGTCCATTTTTTCTGTCTAGGTAGTCAATATAAATCTTTCGAGCCAGTCAAGTGCACTGATCTAAAAAATAAATGGATAAACAATCATACGGCTTGATTGGCAAAATTTGTGCGAAAATTTGGGGTCAATATTCTACGAACAGTTTGCAACGGAACAGCCTAACGCCTGCGCAGTGTCTTATCTTTCGAACAAAGCCGCTTTCGATGTTATTCGGAGAAAAATAACTACTTTTGCTTATTTTCTTTATTTTTTTTTCTGGTTAATTCATTGTACTGATTGTCTTCTGTTTCCATCACATAGTTGACACATCAAGGAATGTGTTGACAAATGCTTAAGTTACCATGTAAAATTCAATTTTTTTTTCTAATGGTGCCAAAAAACATAAAAGGTGACAAAAAAAATCTCTGGCCATTATTGATTCCGATGTTTGGGCGTACTAATGACACTAATGACACTTTCAGATACTTATCCTCTAAATATGTTTTTTTTTTTTTTTCAAAATTTTAGAACGGTTTTCGAGAAACCTTGTTTTTTCTAAACAACTGGACAACTGCAGCAGCAATTTGAAACAAAAAATGACATTTATGTCAGAAACTATAAAAGATCACCATGTTGACAAAACTCAGGTTGTCCAAACCAAAATTGCACGGCCAACCGAACTATATTGAAAAAGATGCAAGTTTCTATTTGAAATAAGAAAGTTAATGCTTACATTTGGTACACCCTGTACCGGCTGTACCTATAGTTGAGGATCTGAAAATATTTTAGGTGACGCCGGAATGATTGATTATGGCTGCAAACCAAATTTGAAGTTTCTAATCCCCGTGCAAGCTCAAAAACTTCTAATGCACGGGCTACGTAAAGGTACGGTTTGTTAGGACAGTGCGCGACGCACAACTCACAACGTAAACGTCAGCAGAATCTGTTTAGCACGGTGTTGACACACTGCTGACGCTGTACGTTTCGCTCACCTGCGCAAACCCAACAAACTCTATAATTTACACTCGGTTGATTTCAGCAGATGTGCGTGGCGTTCGACAGAATGTGAGTTTGCGTCGCGCACTGCCCTAAAAAACCGTACCTTTAATCACCCTATACACGGTGTCCCACATCAAAGTTACTTCATGAGGATGTCGGAAATAGTAAGAGATACAATTTTGGTTAATTAGGAAAAAATTGGCGCTATTCCAAGCCCAATGAGATGCTGCATCGAAATTGAAAATATCCACAGGGGTTTTCAAAATATAGAGCAAAAACTAATAATTAACCATAGCCAATAACTTTGTCATTTCTCACAGCCGCCGTATTGCTTTTTTACGTCATTAAATGAGCTTTTTAACCATGTATAACAGGCCTATCTTTGAATGACAGAAAATATAAATTAATTAAAGAAAACAGTTTTCCACTTAGTTGGTTGTGAAACAAATGCCGTAATTGTGTTTGTTGTCATAGCTTTGTACCTGTAGATACTTTCAATTTCGATACAGCATCTGATTGGGCTCGGAATAGGCAACTTTTTCCAATTTAACCAGAAACCTGGGTCACCCTGTAGGTAGCTTATTTGGGGAACCTATTATATTCTGTGGTATGACATCACACAAGTCTTAACATCTTTGGCACTTGGCTAATTATCAATATAATCACATCAACAACCAGGAATCACCTCGATTTTGACAATCGAGTCGGCTATGTCCATCCTTTACTAGCTACCGTAAAATAGTTATTAAGGTATCAAGGATATTATAAGGATATTAATGCTTGAGGTCAATGGTGAGGGATATACGTTGACCGAAAGCGTTATTATCCTTAATAGCCGCGGTGCCTTCAACGTTCAATGTCCGACTTAATTATTTTTTATATGAGAAAATTTTGAATGAGTTTTGAATAAATTATTAATCTAAAACAAATCAATCAAACCTGCAAAAAAATAGTCATAACGCCCTAGGGCGTTATTTTTCAGAATAAAGCCCTAAGGAATTATTTCGTATTTAACTGACTTTGACATAATGCATTATCTCTCGAATAATATACCAGTCGGACATTAACAAATTTTGTAGTAGTAGATTAATGGCTATTTGCACCGCTATCCCTTAAGGGATATTTAATCTAAGTGGAGCTTTGAATGAATGTGAATTTTGTTTCTACAAGAGGAGTCACATTCATAGCTTCACTGAGATTAAATATTCCTTAAGTTGTAACGGTGCAAATAGCCGTTAATGATATGGTGATTGAACACACAGCCAATCGAAATATAAAACCAATAGGAGATATAGTTCGAAGAGGATTCAGAGATGATTCTTCAGTTCTTATATTTTGTTTTTTTAGTAAATCAGCATTGTCACTCTCATAACAGAGGCACTTGAAGACTTTTCACCTTAGTCATTTCATTCATTACACCTGAATAAAATGGGCATGATGGTATACTTGTATAAAAAAAAAACGTGATAATATAACAGCGGAGGCTGAAATTCTACAATCCTTTCTTTATATTACATCAGATGTTGTAGCTTGTCTTAGGACGGGCATCACTGGAAATGGCACCATAGATTGCCACATGTCATAAGAGATTAGTGGAACAGTCATGATTGCATGACTCGGTTAGAGAGGAAAAAATTTATTACATTAGAATAACTCGAAGCGACAGTACTTGTTCCCTTGTACCAGTAAGCTTATCAGTGAAAGTTAGGGCAAAAACTATAACTACATTTAGATTTTAGATCCTCTGAGCATGTATGCCAACAAAACCCAATTTATTTACAATTTATTGCAGATTCAATATTATTCCAATAATATAGCTATACAGGGTGTTTCAGAAATGGTGTTACAAACTTTAAGAGCGGATATAAATCATCAAAATAAAAGAAAAAGTTCCTATAAATATGGGTCCATACCTATGTAATACAAAAAGAAACTTTTTTTTTTCAATTTCTAGCTCCAATACCTCGGAAGCGAAACGTTCCCGGAACAGTATTCATAGGAACTTTTTATCTTATTTTGATGAGTTATATCCGCCTTTAAAGTTTGTAACACCATTTCTGAAACACCCTGTATATTTAAAACAAAAAGTACTTATAAATAAAGGTCAAAATATTGGTGTTCATTTTAACAAATCAAATAAATAGAATATATTTATATACTAGGCCATTTGTTCATCTTCAGATAAACTTACTGGTAGGGCTAGGTCTCTGTAACGAATAGAGATAATATTTTCTCTATCTTTATTGACGTTCCCTCTCTACTGATTTCGAGAAGAGAGAAGAAGACAGCAAGTGCCATGGCGATAGGGAGAACGATCTCTATCCGTTAAAGAGTTCCAGGTCTCTGGCCGACCATTAGAATGGGCTCTTTCACTAATTATAGAAATTGGCATAATTGGATAAAGCAACTAAAAACAGAATTTTCTATATTTTTACTTATGAAAAATTCATAGTCTTTCTTGAGAAAATAGAAAAAAAAAGAAATACCTCCAAATAAAAACCCAGAATTTATTTCTATGACGTCGCACCTTGCATTTTAACCGTGTTGCCACTAATTATCAACAGTATCAACAATGAAAATTTGTTGTAATAGATTTAATTCTAAAATGTTGGCAAAATACCATGGAAAGTAGTTGAAATAATTAGTTATGGATTCAAGATTTTATAACATTTTTTTTTTTGAAATTATGCTTAAACACAATTTGAATCAATTTTTTATGTTTAGTTTTATTTTATTTTTTTTACGTCGCACTACATTTAGTCACAGCCGACAACAGCGCATTCGAACATTTAACGTGCTTTTAGTAGACGGTACACAGCCGAGCCGGTAAGGTGCTTGCTTGTAGCCGCTTGGGCCAAATGAAAAATATTCAGGTAACGTCATCATTTGGCGCGTTTTAAATCATTTTGAATTTGGCCATTTTTAAGTGCCTGTATTAAACTTATTTCACGTTGTGGATCATTTTTTTTTGTTGGTATATATGCCTAAAATAGTCCCTCCTTTAGGATTTCATACTTAAATTACGTATTTACATTTTAGTGAAAGAGCCCAATGCGTATTTGTCCGTCAGATTGCATTGCCTGACAGTTTATCAGAAGTGAACAAACCGGGCCTCAGATCCATTAAAAGATATCGTATTTTCTATGTCCACACATATTTGTGTAATTTACAGGAAACAAACCGCGAGGATAACAAAGAAGAAGAGAATAAGTCATCGCCTTTGTCATCAGAGGACGAGAGCGACGTGGAAAGTCTTCACAGTTTTCATTATTCCCCGAAGGCAGTCGATATGCCTTCAGCGATTAGGTTAGCTAAGAGATTGTACGGTTTAGATGGTTTCAAAAAATCCGACGTTTCGAGGCATCTTAGTAAAAAGTAGGTACTTAAATAAATATTATTTGTATGTGAAAAAATTAAGTTTTGTGTATTGTTTTACAGTAATGACTTTAGTAGGGCTGTGGCAGAAGAATACTTGAAGTATTTTATCTTTGAAAAAGATAGATTAGATATAGCTTTAAGAAAGTTCCTCAAACAATTTTCTTTGACTGGTGAGACACAGGAGCGAGAGAGAGTTTTAGTACATTTTTCGAAAAGATATTTGGACTGTAATCCTGGGGCTTTCAATTCCCAAGGTAATAAACAAAAACAATTTAATCTCTAAATTTCAACCCTCAAACAAATAATATAAAATTACAGATGCTGTGCACACACTAACATGTGCCATAATGCTACTGAATACTGATTTACACACGCAAAACGTCGGCCGAAAAATGACTTGTAACGAGTTTATCGAAAACCTGACTGATCTGAACGAGGGTGAGAACTTTCCTAGGGAGATATTGAAACATCTCTATCACGCTATTAAAAATCATCCTTTAGAATGGGCACTGTAAGTAGGATTTAACTTTGTCAATAACATAAGAAAGTGCAAAAAAGGGTGCTAATTCTATTCCTACTTTGTTTATACAGAGACAACGATCAAGACGAAAATGGCCAAATCAATCTCAGAAATAATGATGTCAATTTAACAGGAAATCCATTCTTGGACATTCCCAATTCCTCGAATGCCGTAGAATACAAAAAAGGTTACGTTATGCGCAAGTGTTGTTATGAGACCAACGCCAAAAGAAGTGAGTACATATTATATCTTTATTTTATTTGTAGTTAATTGGACAGGAAGGTGGTGGTTATACCTCTAAATATAAAATAAAAAACATAACACAAAACTGGATCTGAGTAGTCTTTGGGAAAAATCTTACTAACAAATGTTTGTTAATGAAACAAATTTTGGTGAGGGATAACTCACGCCTGCTTAGCCTTACTAACACATCCTAACTGATTTTTCGCATCTTAACAAACCCTATTATTTACCAGGTGGTTAAGACTTCATTACATTATTTTTGATAAATGATATATTTTTGCAAAAAATCGTTTCACAAATATACTCCTATTATTTATTAAATAATTCAAATCTAACCACCTAGTAATTTATGTTTTCTACCAAGATAATTTTCAACAATATATCATAGTCAACAATGTTTGATTTAAATTTGATATGTAAAATCCACCCTCAAATGATGAATATTAGGCTCACATTCCATTTTTATTTTTAAGCTTTTATTTGATAATAACCAATTTCAAGTTGATTAAGTAACCATTTTACACTCGATTTTACAATTACATACTGATTTTGAAATTAATCACATTTTAGTTGTGAGCTGCTTTTCACTGAAGGTTTTTTGCTTTTTTGTCTTCCTTTTAATTTGTTTAATAAAATATTGTGTGGCAAATGCATACCGGCTTGTGGTTTTGATGCCCCTCAAAATTGCCAAAAAGCGAGAAAAATTCAAAATTGGCAGTTAAATTTCACTACTAGTGTTAAAATATTTAACCAATCATGCATTCGTTTAGGGGGGTGGAAAAAAATCTTGGTAATTTACATCATAGGGGTAAAAGAATTAGCTTTCTAGACCTTGCAAAGCATGTAGCAATACAATAGCGCTGTTTCGAAGGCCTCTGCTGCGTTTTTCTAGCGCCATTTCACAAGCGTAGCTGGAAGATGTTCTACTGCACCCTCAGGGACCTGGTGCTCTATCTGCACAAGGACGAGAACGGATTTCGGAAGAACCAAATGGGCGGTGACAATCTGCATAATGCTATTCGGATACACCATGCACTGGCAACTATGGCACAGGATTACACCAAGAAACAGTATGTGTTCCGATTGCAGACGGCGGATCAGGCGGAGTATCTCTTTCAAACAAGGTAAGCAGCACAAGAAATCAATAAGTTTATTATTGTAGTTAAATATGACACTCATTTTTTTTTAAATGAATTTCTTGTTCTGTTGAAATTGACATATAAACGAAGATTTGATTAACCTTGTAATTTTGAATATTTCAAGTGATTCAAAGGAGCTACAATCTTGGATAGACACAATCAATTTTGTTGCCGCAAGCTTCTCAGCACCGCCCCTGGAGGCAGCAGTAGGATCTCAAAAGAAATTCCAAAGGCCACTTTTGCCGTGTAGTCATACAAAATTGCATTTGGTGAGTAAAATTTATTTTGTGTTTATTTTTCCTAGACTAACCCAATGAGAAATGAAATTTCTTGAGGGGAAAACCTTTCGAGGCAAGGTAAAAATTGTACTCGACACAAACGAAAGTAATTCACACTGTATCATAAAATGCACCTTTACTTTCTGTTCTTTTTTTCGAATTTACTGAGGTGGGGTTGTTCTGACCCAGCTATGGAGTCAAAGTTGATGGATTCAAACTAGTTAGGAGGGATAGAGAGGAAAAAGGTGGAAGGCTGGCGTTTTACTATAGGGATCATATTAAACTGAAGTTTATTAAGGATGTGGGTGTAGGTGACGGTGGTAACGGGTTGGAGCAGTTATGGGCATGTGCCGGATTTGAGGAAAAGAAAGTCGCTCTGGGCACTTTATACCGTCCTCCAGGTAGCAATCTATTGAGTTGTATTGATCAGTTGGAAACTTCTTTAGCTGATTGATTTAATTATTTTTGGTGCCGATTTTGACGTAGATATGTTAGACGTTGACAATCCCGGGTATAGAAGTTTCCAGGGTTGTCTTTCAAAGTATGGCTTGCATCAGCTTATATCGGAACCCACCCGTGTCACAGATCGTACAGCCAAACTAATCGACGTTCTAGTCACTTCGGATTCTTCTTCCTGTAATGATTCTAATGTCCTGAAAATGAATGGCATATCTGACCACTGACTGTTTGGTTTCTTGTAACTTAAAATTCAGAAAAGGTAAACAGCCTGCCATATTTTAAATCTACAGAGACTTTTCAACTTTTAATTTGGAATTGTTTAATGCTTGCTTATCTACTATTTATCGGGATTCTATTTATGCCCTGGAGGATGTGGATGAAGCGTTGAACTTTTTAAATAATAATATTGTTTGGTTGTTCAATCTGCATGCTCCTTTTGAGACTGTACATATTATTAAACCGCCGTTCCATGGATTAGTGAAAATACTAGACTCCTAATGAAACTACGAGACAGGGCGTGTTAAGTATAAAAAATCTCATTCTGAAATTGATTTCTCAGAACATAAAAGCCTTAGGAATTTTGTTGGATCCTGCCTTAATACAGAACAAAGAGCCTAGCTAAGGTATAAGTTGAGGAGAGATCCCAAGAATTTTTGGAAGCTGCTTAAATTCTCGAACATAACAAAAAATACCGAGTCAGTCACCGACATTGGGGATGCTGATACGTTTATTACTTCTTTTACATCGCATTGTAACTTGGACAAAGATTTTGGTATAGACACCGCCTTATTGAATAAGTATCAATCCCACATCTATCCAAATTGTAAAACCATCTTCAGCCTCAAAGTGGTTGACATTTCTACTGTTGAATCAATTATTAGAAATCTAAAATCTTCTTCTAAGAGTGAGGACGGCATTGATTTGAAAATAATATCGTTTCGTATTCCAGCTTATCTACTCACCTGACCTATCTTATTAATAAATGCTTATCTACTGGCATTTTTCCCAAAGTCTGGAAGGATGCAAAAGTGGTTCCAGCTCCTAAAAAGCTGTCTCGCAGTCAAGTGACTGATTTCCGCCCTATACGTTTACTTCCTATTCTGTCCAAAATTTTCGAAAATATTGTTGCAGTTGAAATGAACGAGCATCTTCGGGCCAACGAAATAATTCCCAGTACACAATCTGGTTTTCGGGCGTCTCATAGTACAACAACAGCTTTACTAAAAGTAACTGACGACATCCTTTCGGCTTCTGATCAGAAACTCCAACCAGTGCTTATCTTACTTGACTATAGCAAAGCATTTGATGCCATAGTTCATCCAATTCTTTACTTAAAACAAAAATATTTTGGATTTGATCGGAACAGCATCAATCTTTTTAGATCGTATCTTTCGTTTAAAAGGCAGCGGGTTTCTTTCAATGGTAGTAATTCTTATTTTATTACTTTGGATAAAGGTGTTCCCCAAATGAGTATCTATATAGCTGATTTTTCAACTTTTTCAACTATACTACTCTTTTCTCATCGGTAACGTCCGCCTGGCCATCGAAAACATTAATAGCGACCTGGAAACTATTTATGAACTCTCTAGCACCCACGGCCTAAAAATGAATAGCTCGAAGACAGAAATGTTGGTTTATGTGAGCCATAGAGTGCAGGTAATAAATCACAATTACTTTAAGATTTGTCTCAATAATACCACTCTAAATGTTTCCAACTATTATAGGAATCTGGGACCGTGGATGGCTTCGGAATTCAGATATTCACAACATGTCTACTTTACTTCAAAAGTCGTATTTACGCCGGTCTAAAAACTCTTTATATTCACAGGAAAACTTTGAGCATAGACATTGAACTTAGACTGTGCGACAGTTTAGTTTTGTCACAGCTTGCGTACTGCAGTGTTGTTTTTTGGCCAGCTCTGCTTCAAAGAGATAGGAACAATCTGCAAAAAGTTCAAAATGCATGTATTCGGTTCAGTTTTGGTATTCGTAAATACGACCACATATCTTTAAAAAATCTAGGTGAACTGATGCACACAATTAGCGGATTCAGTCACTCTCAATGTTCAACTTCTGATCTCATCCTCCACATTATAGTATTGCATATGTATAATATCTTGATAAATTTAAATTTCCTAGTTTTAATTTATCTGTATTTTTAGTTTTCGAAGGTAATATCTTTTGATGAGGTGGTTATTATATCGAAGAGCGTGCCTACTTATACAAATATCGCCTCCTTCTCACTTGGGAAACTTATCCTGTTCTATTTTTATGTACAGAACTAGCTGACCCGGCGAACTTCGTACCTCCTCTGTATTATTAAATACCTATTAAATGTTGTGTTAACGTATCTATTAACTGAATTAAATTCAGTTTTTTTCGATGGTGAATTTGGCTTTGGTTGAAGAAAATTAATTTCTGGATCAGAAGTCACCTAAAATTAAAATTTTACATCATCCCTTTTTAGGCATCTTGTGGGCATTATTCTTGTAAAGTGTACCACCAAATAAATAAACTCAGGCACAGGAATATTCAAAAAATGTAAAGAAAACAAAAAAAATCTCCAGCGCAGCCCTGTTTCATTTTATCTGCATTGCATGCACTGCAATACTCCATCTGTTCTACTGTATCTGCACTATTCTATCTGATCTACTCTTTCTGCACCACTTTATCTGATCGGAATAGCTCCAGTTCCTTAGCAGTATTCTGTTCTACTGTATCTGCAATGAAATTACCGCGCAACGGCGAGCTTCGTTCTAGGTATCATATATGGCGTCGTATACAAAATGGTTGTGGCGGACTCATAACCTGGCTCTCTGCCACTCGACACCAGCCGGACGGAGCACTCCGAACCGTCGGCACGGAACACGGCTGTCAAGGGATGCCTGAGAGGAGAAACGGAACTTAGCTACAGAACGTCAATGGTCAAGCGTCAAGAAATGACAGGGAGACCAGTTCGCGCTCTTTCGGAATGAAGGAACCAACAACAAAATAAAATACACAATTAAAACATTGTCATTCTATTTATTTTTGGATATTTTTTCTGTGAAGAACAATTAAAAATAAAGTGCTTTCCTCAAATTGTTTTAGTGCAAAGTGTGTGACAATAAAATCCACATGGTTTGCAATGAAAATGTGACGGTAAACTTGGTATCGGTTATAAGAGATGGCGCCGTATGCGGGCTTAGTGAGTTTTTTCATAAATAAGTAAAATAGATAAATTTTTTTTTTGTTTTTTTTTGATTTTTTCGATTTATTATGTTAGGATGGACAAAGACAAATCGAATAAAGCAAAAATCATAAAAATCAGTTCAGCCGTTCTCGAGTTATAAGCGCTTCCACACCAACACAACTGTGTTTTATATATATATATATATATATATATATATATATATATATATATATATATATATATATATATATATATATATATATATATATATATATATATATATATATATATATATATATATATAAAGGCACTTTACTATTATTATCGTTGTCATACTACATTGTCATTTTCTTTGACAGGGCTTCCATTTACCAAAAACAAACCATGTTTCTTAGGTTAAATGGGTTTTTAATTTTAGCCTATTGTTCTTCTTATTATGTGAGCTGTCTCAAGCAATGTAGTTTATTGTATGGAGTCCATCAAAGCTTGTGTGTTGTTGTTCCCTGGTATTCTTGCTAGCCATTCTTTAAGGTTTCTATTTATTATTCCCGTAGCACCAATCACGACTGGAATTATTGTTGTTCTAAGACCCCACATTCTTTGGGTTTCTATCTGCAAATCTCTATACTTCAGTATCTTTTCCGCTTCCTTTTCCTTGATAGTTCTGTCCGAGCGGATTGCTACATCTATTATTAAGCACCTTTTGTTTTCCTTGTCCTTTATAATTATGTCTGGCTTGTTGGCAGCTATTGTTCTATCCGTTTGTACCTCCGTGTCTCAAATCGCTGTTAGGTTTTTTGTCAGCTCTACGTTTTTGGGTTTGTGTTTGAACCCATTAGTCTTCAACTTCTATGTTACAGTATTTGCACTTGTTATAATGAAGTGTTGAACATACTTTGTTGTGTCTTTTTATTGTGGCAAAACGCCCCAAGTACTCTATTTAAATTAGTTAGATGGTAAATAGCGAGCGGTATACAGGGTGTCCCACGGTGGATGGTGTATTAGACGTTGATGGAGAACTAAAAAGCGGATCATATTGAAAATTTGGCAACCGGGATAAACGACCATAATGTACACTTTAAAAATATTTTTGTTTATGCGGTGTTGCCGCTTCTACTCTTAATCAGTGGCAACATCGCTATTTTAAATGGAACACCCTGTATGTGATTGCATATTTGGATTCTCCGTAAAATTCAGAACAGATTTCATGTGATATACCCTGTACCTAAGTTCAACTATTTCGGAAATATTGACAGTTGAAAATTGAGTTTTTGCAACTTTGACAGGTTGTAAAACCTAAACGGTTAATTTTAGAGGAACACCGATTTAACATTCCTATCTTAGATTTTCATAAACTATC